TAGCATGGACCAGATTGCCGAGCAAAACGCTGGATTTACTTAAAGTTCAATCGTTGAGATTTTTAAAAATATAATTTCTTTTTTAATGTCTTACATTAATTTCGTCCTCAAATATTGTGAAACTATTCGTTCAAATTCAGACGAAAGTTTTTGGAAATGGGTTGATTTTTTCCCTTTTATAAGTTTTAGGACTTGTATTTCTCTGTTTTTAATATTCAAGACTACATCTGACCAGATTTCGTTAACATAAGGAGCTGCTTAAGAGGATGCTTCGATACCGAGTAGAACATGATTAAGTTTTGAATAGCGATTAGCAATATAATCAACAGTGAGTTGAAGATTCCCTCACTTGATCGGTCCCAAACTGAACTAAATGTGTTTTGAATTCGACTGCTAGCCACTAACAGAATTAACAATTAACATGCTTATATTCTGTTTTTGATTCAAACGTAGATACGACTACGTAGGAAATCTCACTATAAAAAATTGGAATTTGAATTATACAGATTTTCGTTTCACATACAGAATAATCAAAACATATCTATTCATCAGGCTTGGATACACGGTAAACACTTATCAATTTTAAATACAAAAACTTTATAAACTTAAAAATTTACGTAAACCCCTGATCATTATTTACTTTTAACTGCATCGTAGTCAAATCTACAAGTCCAACAAATTGACTGGTACCATTGTTTTTAATATGATATTTATTAGAAAGCGAAGTAGACGTATTCGAATCATTGATTAATGATGATGTCTTATCTGTATTAAGACTATGAGAAAATACTGGCCAATGAATAGGAATATAATGTGCTTTTGTAGGCAGCTGATTAGATAAACTGCGTAAGCAGAGATCGAGGTTAGCCATTGGGCGGTCCATTTTATTGATATAGATTAGACATGGAAGACAGTAACGATGGGCCTGGCGACTTGAAAGAGAAAGATACGAAAAAAGGTGGATAACAGGAACAAATGTGATATTATAGACTGTATCAAAACATTGTATTTGCAACCCCACAATCCCCTTAAGATTAGGCTCAAACTAAAATATCAACTTGTAATAGTATACACAGTTACGAGTAATGCAGGTCTGTTATTTTAGTCTGGAAAGATTCTTTGTGAAATTTAGTGATCTATGACTTTTAGATTAACTAATTCCAGGATAATCATTAATTATCTCCCACCGACAATTCTATCAAATGTGAAAGTACTACTAATCTTGACGTTTGGTAGCTATGTATCACAGTAAAAAATGGGGTATCCTATGTAAAATTTCTCGTGAAAAAACTTTTAAACAGTGACTCGTTAAAGTATGAGTTAAAGGAAAATAAATTTACTTATTTGATAGTTGAATCCATGAGTCAATTGAAGCTAGACCACCATGGAAACCTGGAAGCACTGGACGGCCGTTTCGTTCTAGTATAAGACTCCTCAGTAGTGCGCATCCACGATCCCGCCTCGCGAGATTCGAACCCAAGACCTATCGGTCTCGCGCGCGAATTCACTTATACAACTATCAATTACCAAAAGATGAGCAGTTAGCACCGAATCGCGAAATGAAATTAGTACTCACCACACAGTATGTGTCTGAGGTTGAACACCTTTGACCGCATCCAATATGACGACAACACTATCTAAAACAGTTAGACTTCGTTCAACTTCAAATGTGAAATCTACGTGTCCTGGAGTATCCAACAAGTGAATTTTATGATTTCGCCAAGACAGAGAAGCTGATGCAGTAACAATGCTTATACCACGTTCACGTTCTTCGGGTAAGTAATCAGTCACAGTATCTCCATGATCTACTTCACCGAGATAGTGTATACGTCCTAAATTATTAAAAGCACGTAATTATTTTGTAGAATCAATGGAGTCATGAGCACAAATACAGCAAATAGGTTAGAAATAAATACAAAGTGAATGTAGGGTAAATACTGAATAGTAATCTTGAAGTACGCTGGCTGTAACGACATCAAAATTAGATACTACATAGATATAAACTAAACAATCAAACAATTCAAGCAATCGCTTTAATCCACATAGAGCGATGAATAAATTGTGCACCATATGAACGTTTCTACATTAGGTTAAAATTTGCATTATTATACGACGGGTTTAGGTTTATGGAAAAGATGTGATTCATTAGTTCAGGCAATACACAGGCAGCCATTTGATGAATGATTCGAACGTTGGTGTACTTGTTACAATATCGACAAGTAGATGGTACATTATAATTCATTTTACCGATTCGTGCACTTGGCTTCAAGCCAAACTTTAAGTATGACGACCAATGATACTATCTGGTTACCCATATCGTAGAAGATGGAACGAGGTTTGAACCTCGAACACAACAGCTGAAAGTCGAAAATCATAATCACAGAGTCACCCTTCCAAAAACTCTTGATGAGACAATAAAGAGGTGGAGTGCATATATATAACATAAGACTCGGAACAACAGTAGATGGATGCACTGCTCCATCGCCTTTGGTATATCAGGAAACTTGAAAATAACAATAACAGTATTAGATCATAGGACAGGTCAGGTATTTATTGTTAGTAGCCAGTACATAATCTATGTAGCTTGAAACCTGGGAGTAATTCTAAAGCTCTACTTATGTAAGATGCTATTGCAATTTACTCACTATTTTGGAGGTACACGTAACTACAGAAGTGATTATAAAAATGTTTCTTCAGCGAGTGTTAAATTGTGATACAAAATATCATCTTCAGAGGATCGCTTAACACAATACAAGTGAATTAAAAAAATATTTATATGACAAGCTTATTAATTTCTACTAACAAACGAATAAGCTCTGAGACAAAGCATCAAAAAACATCCTACTTGATAGTTTACTAAATACTATCAGTTAAAATACAGAGTAGTTTCAGTATGTTTAACACAAAAATGCTTGGTAGAATAGGATGTTACGAAATGCACCATGATAATAGTTATGAAGCAATAAGACATGAATTCATGTAACGATAGCAATTATGCTCATGAATGAAGTTTGAATACGAGTACAAGATAAAATCCATTATCTTAAACTGCATGTTAGTGCTTAAGAAGAGCAAGAAAGCAAAACAACGCAGTGGCCACTAATTTCAATTTCGGTCCATGTCTGATTAAGTTTCAAGTAACTGAGTTGCATACACCTAATAGATGAAGGAGTGATAATATATATAAAATCGATAGAAATATCCTGAATTCAACAGCTTTGTCATAAAATAACCACCTTTACACTTTACCCAGACAGTTGTAAACAGTCTTCAACAAGGAATTTGCAAAAATATCATGGAAAATGCATGATGAGTAAATGAATCCTCACTACTAGTAAGCGAAAGCATATAAATCATGGAATTATTTGACCGGTTATGTACACTTATCTCATGCAGGAGTGAGTCGATGGTTATATATATATAGTAAGTACACATAGATGCACACAGGTTACAAAACTCAGTTACTGTGTGAAGGGTAGCTGCACAGAAGCAGATTGACGGAGATTGTACGTACAGCCCCAGCTTTGAATGTCAGCTCACGAGTTTATAAAATAGTCCATCCTATTGAAAGGTATATGATCATTAATTGTGTATGTCGTATCGCCATCCAAACACCTATTAACTTAAAAAGTTCTTCACAAAAAAAACAACATTTTTTAGAATGATGCAACTAAATGGACTATTTACACTGAAACAACTTCGGTGACCAGCAGTTGACAACACACCCGGAGTTAACATACCACCTTATATTATGCAATTGACAGTTACATAAAAATATTTAGTAACATGTAAGATAATTGTTTTTACGATGTGGGGTAATCACAAATCTTTTTTAGAACTGTTTTATGTGAGAACACCTTTATCAATAATTGGTCGTGTTACTTTAGAAACATTAAAAAAAGCATTTGCATTCAGTTACCGGCTAACAGGCATGGAAACAGAGTACACACATTAATAAATGAAATATGATTATGTATCATTTACTTTTCATTTACGAAGAACATAGTAAACGCTAGAAGCTTTCAATACTTTATATGTGACTAATCTGATAGAAGTACCACAATTTTATACAGATAACTCAATGAAATGAAAAATAAAGGGACAACATAATATATCAAGCTAAACGCTTACGAGCATAATAAAGCATGCGTTCTGTAGTAGTCGTTTTACCAGCGTCGATATGAGCAATTAAACCAACATTTCTTATTGTTGCGATAGGTGGATCATTGACTGAAATTTTCGCTTTAAGATTACTACCTATATGTTGTGCATGAGTATGCGCATGGCGATAGCGCTTGTAGTCATACTTCAGATTCAACAAACTGAACCATTTGGACGAGGGTAAGACGCGCAGATTCCTGTGAATTAGCATTTTTCAGTATTGTTAGGCTACAAAAAATAATGCTCGATATTCATTATGTCTAACAACGAAAAAATAATATACCGGCATAACAGTTGAACATTAGAAACAAATATTAAAATATTATATATAGATCAATCTCTAGAACTGCTTCATCCACAATATTTAGATTATACTGAAATAAGATCTAACTAGAGAATAATATTGAGATAATTAGTGAATAAACTGCATAGCTTTTTGTCAAAAAGACGGAGTGGACAAGTTTATATGAAAACTCAAAACAATGCCACAAGCTATAAGTTTATAGGAAACCTAAAATAGAAGCAGGATTATAACACTAGCAAGAATGTTGTTCTATATTAAAGCAATTCAGTTGTTCAGCTGTTCAATAGTTCCAATGAACTAGAGCACAGTAGCCCAGCATTTCAACAGAAGATAGTGTTAATTTTATTTGAAAAGAGTGGATAATCATTTGATAGACTTTCTAATGCAAACACTGAAGCAAACATTCTTGGAAGTAGATTTAAAGAACAATATATACAAGAAAAGATATGTTTATAAAAGTAAGTATCTATTATAACGAATGGATATTTACAAGCGTACGATTTCTATAGAAAAACGAAATTTGGAAGGAAATTAGCTAATGCGATCTAAAATTAGCATATGCACGATTCTCTTCACATTGTTTATGTAATTCAACCTTGTATTTGACAGCTTTGCCTTGGTTTTGTGAAGCTATCATAAATTCGTTTGCCAGAGATATCCATATTCGTTGATCACGTGGCTTTCCTCTAGCTGCGTCCAAAATAAATTTCACTGCAGTATGCGTGGCAACTGAAGATACTGGAGGAGCAGGAACCTGTACAGACAAAACATTACAGACGAATCTGTAGCACAAACTTATATTATAGTAACTAGGTTCATAGAACAATGAATTAAAAGTCAGGCCGATTAAATGATAATTTTCGATGGCCGTCTGACAATAATTAGGAATTTCTCAAAGAGAGCACGCATGGTACTGAAGACGTAGTGATAAACAATTTTCAGTCGACATAAATGCTTAACCTAGTAATCTTGGAATCGATAACTGAATCTCTGTGCTAATGTGGTATGGCAACTCGAACTGATGTACGTACGTACGAAGTTCCACGTTGTTACTGACTGACTGACTGACTGACTGACTGACTGACTGACTGACTGACTGACTGACTGACTTGGAATAACATTGAAAATGAGAAATCCCGAATTCCTGGTATAATTACGGGGTTCAGTAGGTCAAATCAAGTGTGATTGTGAAATATTTCATTTAAGGAACCTTCGCTTCTAAATTTGTATTTTTGAACAGAATTAACTGTTACAATTGATGTGTTTTTGTTTTCTGTTTATAAGATTATTTACCCTCTAGGTTTCAATGTGGTTTAGAATAAATGTTAAGGTAATATGTTTTCCAAGGTGATATTCACGAAAATCAGAGTATTCAGGTGATGTTATTGATTATTCTTAATTAAAATAACTCTATGTAATATCACCCCTAAAAATATCTTAACATTTGAGAAAAAAGTCAGAAAATACATTCATTCATATTATGAATTCCATTTTTAGCTAAACTCATGTTGATGCCCCCAAATGCCCTGGTATGGCCGAGAGCGGAGAGGGTTTGCTCTCCCTCTCGAAATACTCTCACACGGCCACGCGTATACAGCCTCTGCCAGGGAAGTCCTACTCACTGCCCTCTCGCACCACGGGTGTTGTTTACGAAAATAAGAGGACGAAAAGCGAATGTCCGGCGCTTTAACCGGATCCCAATTCTATGGTGCACATGGGCTCCAGTATCCTGAAGGAACAAATGACGTATGAACCAACTTTTGGTCACCGGCTTCCATGGGACCGCGTCTCCTCACGATGCTCCACTGCCTTGTGGACTAGACCCTTGGGTCAAAGGCTCGGGGTGTGGCCCCCTAAGAAAACCACCTGCTTCGGTTTGGGCACCCGGGCAGTATCTCAGCCCACGCACTAAAACCATGATGATGAACAATTTGCTTATGAAAAATATTCCTTTCTATCTGATTAACATTGAAATAACTCGTACTATTATTATTATTATTGCTATTATTATTATTATTATTATTATTATTATTATTATTATTATTATTATTATTATTACTCTACCACGTCATTTATTCACCCTCTCTTATTCCTACTTTATGTATCCGTGTCGACCTAGACAGCAGCTCACCTATGGTGAAAATTCAGCTTTATCTAAACGTTCTCGAGTCACTGCCTGGTTGAAAATTGTATGTTACCACCGAATATGAGTACTGAAGCAGTTTTTCTGAAACCACGTACACCATTCAAACTGGCTGCCTTCAACGTTCGCACACTTATGTAGGTCGGACAACAGATAGGGCTGGCTATGTCTTTGGAAAGTCTTAATATTGACGTGTGTTGTCTATCAGAGACCCGTATTCAAGACTCTGGTGAAGTACTACAAGTTCGCTCTCCATCTGTCACTTCAAAAAGCTTGTTTTATGTGAATTTATCCGGGGACCCTGTGGCATCTTCGTCTGGTCTTGCTGGCGTTCGTGTCGCACTAAGCGCAAGAGCTGAGGCAGCACTAGTCGACTGGATCCCCATTAACAGTCGGTTATGTGCTGTTAGGTTAGAAAGTTCCATCAAAGTGAGAAGAAATAGGCGTGAGAAACGATGTCTTTTCGTCATCTCCGCCTATGCCCCGACAGATTGCAGCCCGGATGCAATCAAGGACGAGTTCTACCACCACCTAACTGTTCTTCTCCAGAAAGTGCGTTCGATAGATATTGTAGTACTAGCTGGAGACTTGAATGCTCAGGTCGGGCGTCTAGGCACAGTAGAGAGTCGTTTAGGTGGCCGATGGGGACTCGTTGGTCGCAGGACAGATAACGGGGAACGTCTACTGCAACTATGCACAGACCACAACCTGTTTCTGGCTAGCACTAACTTTCGGCACAGTCATCGCCGATGTGCCACCTGGCGTCCCCCTTCTGCATCTCAAGCCTGGACTCAGATTGATCATATCGCGATCAGCTACCGCTGGCGCGGTTGTGTACAAGACTGCCGCTCCTTTTGGAGTACCTATCTGGAATCTGATCATGCTCTGGTCTGCGCCAATCTTACCTTACTTTTCAGTGGACAACGAAGTGACCGCCACCAAAGGATTGATGTTAGCAAGCTGGCTGCAACTTCTGTTGCTAGTATGTACCGAACCGAGCTAGCTTCTAGGCTAGCTACCATTCCACCGAAAAGTATAGATGAGCATTGGTTGCAATTGCATGACGCCATGAAAATGGCGGGTAAAGTCAGTTGTGGGTTTGCGAAACGTCCCGCTTACAAGCACTGGGTTTCTTCTGGTTCCTTACAACTGATTGAAGCCCGTCGGTCTACTCCGGGTGACCGTGAGTTTGACCACAGACGAAGGATGTTACGTAATGAAATCGGGCAAAGCTTGCGTAAGGACCGAGAAGCCTGGTGGTCGGAGCGTGCCAGTGAGTTGGAAGCAGCAGCTGCATCTGGTAATTACCGGAAGCTCTTCCAACTCATCCGAGCCACTGGCAGCAAGAAGTCTGGTGTGAGCGAAACAATCTGCGAGGATGACGGAACGCCAATCACTAACATCCATCGACGTCTTGGACGATGGGCAGAATGCTTTGAAGGGCAGTTCAACTGGCCTGCTGCTCCGGCAACATCGGTCAGACTGTCCTGTCCTCCATGGCCGGTGACGACCGATCCACCAAATGAGGCGGAAGTCCGCAAGGAACTCCAACTCTTGAAACGTTACAAATCACCGAGCCCAGATGACTTACCTCCAGCTCTTTTTAAAGATGGTGGTGACTTTCTGACTAAGGGATTGACGACATTGTTTACAAAGATCTGGGAACTAGAGAGTGTACCAACGTCATGGAATGAGTCGATAGTTGTCCCTATCTTTAAAAAGGGTTCACGTCGTTCCTGTAACAACTATCGGGAGATAAGTCTACTTACGATTGCGTCCAAGCTATTGGCTTCCGTTATACTTCGTAGGTTGTTCAAAACCCGAGAAGGATTGACTCGCGAGAAGCAGGCTGGGTTTCGTTCTGGTCGAGGATGTATTGATCATATCTTCACCCTCCGCCAAGTGTTACAACACCGCCATACTTATCAAAGGCCAACAATCGTAGTGTTTCTTGATATCAGGGCTGCCTTCGATTCGTTGGACAGAACTGTTCTCTGGGATTGTCTATTGAAGAAGGGTGTGCCTGAGAAGTTTATTAACATCCTAAAAGCCCTATACACAAACACCTCAGGCAGAGTGAGGGCATACAACCACCTCTCTCCATCGTTCCATTCGAGCAGTGGGGTTAGGCAGGGTTGTCCAATCTCACCATTCCTCTTCAACTTTGCCATCGATGACATTCTGAAAACAGCTCTGACGGATGTAAGTAATGGTGGTGTGGATCTGTTGCCCGGAGAAAGACTTCTCGACCTTGAGTATCCGGATGATATTGTCTTACTGTGCGAGAATGCCCAAGCCATCCAATCCGCACTTAATCAGTTGGCAATCAGTGTCCGTAGGTATGGTATGTGCTTTGCACCCTCGAAGTGCAAAGTACTTCTACAAGACTGGCAGGATTCTAATCCTGTACTCACTCTGGATGGTGAGCAGATAGAAGTAGTCGAGAAGTTCGTGTATCTAGGTAGCTGCATAAGTGCTGGTGGTGGTGTGAGTGATGAGATCAATGCACGTATAGTGAAAGCCAGAGCGGCTTATGCCAATCTGGGCTATCTTTGGCGCCTTCGTGATGTTAGTCTGGCTACAACGCGTCGGTGAGAGCAGTTTTGCTCTATGCTTGTGAAACCTGGCCCCTCCGAGTTGAGGATGTTAGACGACTCTCTGTGTTCGACCATCGTTGTCTCCGAAGGATTGCTGGCATCCAGTGGCAACACCATGTCAGTAATGCAGAGGTTCGGCATCGACTGTTCGGTCACAGAGACGATAATGAAATTGGTGTCACCATCTTGAAACACCGACTTCGGTGGCTTGGACATGTTCTACGAATGTCGTCCCAGAGAATTCCTCATCGTGCATTATTTGCCGACTCTGGGACTGGTTGGAAAAAGCGGAGAGGTGGTCAGTATATGACATGGTGTCGTGGTATGAAAGAAAGCTGCAAAGGGCTAGCTTCTGTTGGTCCTTCACGACTCCCTGGTTGGGGTCCGAAAGACGGTGTAACGCAGTGGCTAGAGACGTTATCAGATATGGCTCAGAATAGAAGCCAGTGGCGATCCTGCTGTAACCTTCTTTTACTTTCTTCATAAAAAGTGGTTGTATCTTCCTTAACTGAAAGATCTCTTCTGATTGTACCTTTCCGTTTCCCCCACCATTGTTCTCTCTCTCCCTTTTTTTTTATAATTCCCCACGTTCATTACTTTTTTTTCTCTTTTCTCCTTCTCTTCAAATTATCATTGTTTTGTGTGGCGCATATATATTTGGTGCCCCCCTGTACCAATATTTATGTGTTCAAATAAATAAATAAATAATAAATAAATAAATGAGTAAAGACAATAATGTAAAAATCCTGATTGGTGTCAGTTGATTACGAGTGGACTTGACTAAGTAATCAAGAACACACAGATTCACTCATAGCGAAAATCGAGATAACAGACTGTGCAATTTATTGTAGCCATTTTGTATACTTTATATGCATTCATAACAAATATTCCTTTATTTAAGACTACCAAGATGATAAATAAGTAGTAAAATATCATCTTCCTAGACGCTGAAAAAACATTTCGGCTTAAACTACGCCGAATACGTCTAAACTTTTAAAAATCAAATGACAAAACTCATGCATAATGCAGTGGAGACGTATATAATTGTTTTCTAATTGTAACCATACCCAAAAAATTAATGAGATGGGTTATACTTCATAACGTTAAGTCAGTGCTGCTGGGTTTACGTTCAAAACTCACAAGTACCCTCATGAACTATTTCGGATCTAGGTACTTAAAAAATAATGTTGCTTATTGTGTTTGTGAATTGTAAGTTCAAACGTAAATGAAGAATTAGTTTATAAAAGACTTCGGATTGAGAAAGATAAAAAGAGCTAGTATGTGTGAAATCTAGTGATATGATTCATTTGACGACGATTACATCGTAATCAAATTTTCAAGAGCCTGATTTCATTGTTATCTTAGGACGTCGTGCAATAGTCAGCCAGTGTATCTTTAGATCTCAATGAATGGGTGACGAGTTGAAAGTAAAGATGTACAAAGACGAAAAAAAAAAAGCACGTTTAGTTTTAGAGAAAACAAATAAACTTCCTCAAAACTTCGTTAAAAACAACCAGGATTTACTAAAAACACAATTGCCCGACCAATGTTTCCTTATGTGAATTTAACTACAAGTTGGTATTATACTTCCCTTTTATTTATGCGATATGTACATCCAAGCTAACAAACACAAAATTAGCAGCTTCCCACTACGTAGGCCATTGAACTAATTTAAACGAATAATGTGACGTGAGTAATTTACAAAACGCAGCATAAAAAGCATGACTATGCATTAAATAACACTTTGTAGTTAGAAAATGGAATCTAAATATCATCTTTTAAATTATTACCTTGTACAAAATACCACCACGTGGTACTGATTGTAGCAGAAGTAAAGGTGTACAGTTCTTTACTGCTTCATGAATCACGGTAGTGGGGTTAATAAGAATAGCATTACTTTCCGAACTATTTGCAATACTTTTGTTTTTCCGCATCTATGAGAAATGAATCAAGTGATAAATACGTACTTGTATTAGTTTTATTTCTCTAAACGTCATGCGCATTACATTTCTAGCCACCTCTCTTTCGCCTCGAATGGTCATCATCCCCACAATTCTTGAGACAAGTTCATCAAAATTAGATCCCGTATGTTCCCATTTTTGTGCTGGAGCAACGGCTTTTACGAGACGAGGATCTTCTGGGTCTATTGGTTCATTATATTTAACCATCTTGGGTTGGAGAGCATAATGGTAGATACGTGTTCTGATTGGTTGTTTGAATTTCAAAACTTGAGCTGATTTTGTCGAAAGTAAGGTATGAAAATTCCACATAGTGGTCCCAGCAGTAAAAAATTCTGAAAACTTTTAGATAAGATCGGTCTACAAAAAAAGGGAAAAGACCTTGGTAACTAATGTATACCACGAAAATACACAGTAAGCGACAAATGAATAAGTTAGTCAAGAAGCATTAAAGGAAGTGTATGACTTTAAAAGGAGTATGGAATTGATAATATCCTAGCTGAAGCTAAGGAGTTGAGTAAGGCCTTATGGAAAATTGCTATTCATGACAATCGTGAGATATTGTCTTCCAAAAATACTATATCTAGGCTATTTACACTTTAAACAACACTCTTACACGTAGTATTACCAACTTTAGTCTGTGTAACTTGAAAATAAAATTATCTTTAACACGAAAAGCCACAGCTCGAATAACTTAGTTTAACATCCTTGATTGTGGTAATGATTAGTGCGAGTTCTAATCCTAAAAAAGGAATTACTTCCTTTATTGTTGAAAAGATGCCTTACAAGTACAAATCAAAATGAGACCTAGGGTTTCCTATCTATTGCCTCAACCACCTGACACAAATACAATCACTTCGCAAATAAACAAACGAACCTGCCATTGATTGGTTTTATATTTAAATTAAACAAATCTACCTCGAGGTGTAATGTCCACCTAACTATCAGGAAATCTGTTGACTTTATAGCTTCTTTACGTGTTATGATCCGCACAATGTATTAATGGTGTTATATCGCTATGATTTGTTACAAAAGATTAAGTATATCCCAAAATGTCTTACTATTCCTGCAACAAATAGCATTGTGGTGGACTGGTAGTAACTTCTATTAAAGAATACTGATTTTACAGTGCTTAACTGTTTTCAGATAAATGGATTTTTAGTACTTCAAAAAAAAATATTTTGCTAAGGCTTTTTCATACTTATATGTTAGTTTTTATACATATTGCCTATAAAATATGTGCTATCAGATAAAGAACTTAGATTTAATATACTATATATGGATAGGATATTTTTGGTGAATGAAGAAACCTATGTGTAGCTTCATAATTTCATGGTAAATAACGTTTCTATACTACATCTTGTCCGAAAAAACCACTGGTCTCAAGGTTAGGCAACGAGTGTCGAATACATATTTTGAATTACTTGACTGTCTAGTTTAGGTATATGGCATGTATCTCGTTGGGATAAAGAAACTCAGATCAAGCGGCAAGAAGTAAAGGGTAGACATTTATCGGTGTTGAAACGTGTCAAGGATTCAAGTCCGTAAAAACTAAAGCTTAGGTGGAATATTGTGGTCGAAAATAGTATTTATGACGATAATTTATTCAAATAACTATTCCTGTATGAGTAAAATACACAGTTCCTTTTTTATTATCTTTAGTCGACACCAAGACTCAAAGAATACTCCAAGACTTACAATTTCAGAGTTTTGTCTGGGTAAAGCAAAGTTTTGAAAGGTATCACCAAAGATTTACTTCCTAAAAAGCTTCAAAAACAATTCAGAACGTAGAAGCAATTAGATAAAACAACCAACGAATAAAGATATTAGCAGAATACTCGATCTGCTATAAGAGCAGAGTAGGATTCTTTAATTGCGATTGAAAAGCCCAAGGCTGACCATGGTAATACGTTAATCATTTCTCACATAGTCGAGATCAGAAAACCTAATCCCAGAACTCGTTTAGAATGTCGTGTTGGTTAAGTTAAAGGTTTACTCAACAGGCTAATACCTAAGGATATCACAGGGTTCACCCTCTGGGGATCTTATTGTGAGATGAGGACTCGACACTAGTGCAGGTGTTTGAATGGTCTTTTGACTCCACACAAATCCTCGAAGCTTGCTTAACAGTCAACTGAAATTAAATGTACGATAGACTATACCAAAGTGGTACTTTTCATTGCGATATAAACGGTCTGGCCTAAAATGTAAAAGGTTACCTCAGCCTAAAAAAAACGTGAAATCAATTACGACAAAATCGGAAAGCGCATTCGAGGAACAGCATTAGTTATTATATATAGTATCCCCTTTACTGTTACCGACACTGTAGCTTAACAAAGTGGAATGTATGAAGTGGCTAGTTGTCACACGAAATACGATACCGTCTGGAGCCCTTCTAAGGCCATTGCCGCGTCCAAGTTTGGACAATAAAAAAGGGAAATAGTTACTGTACATATGTCATTGAGATCAATTTCCAGCCATGTAATTCAACGTTTACAACCGATGGAAGCGGAACGGAAAACAAAATTTCTAAGAGATTCAAGCATAACAAAGAAAACATTGCTTTTGGTGAAGATCATCAGAAACACTTGTGAATATATCAGTATGGATTAAAGATTGCTGGTGTTAGGATCTCGCTAAAAAATGCGTTACAGCGTACCTATTGACAATAGCGCCTTCATACCCGTTTTCAATGCCATAATGTTTCAGATCAATTTCGATAGTTCTTCAAATCTCTCATTGCTTTGTTAGCTAATGAACTCATCTGGTTAGTGTTAATTAAAGTAATAGGCCAAGCATTGTAGAGATATCTCTGGGTACCTTATTTGAGACGCTCCTCTACGAGGTGGTAAGTATAATAGTCTCGAATTTATTTACATCTGATACACATCGACACTATTGTTCCTCTTTATATTTGCTGCATATCTTAATATCTGATTCACGCATTCCTTACACGAAGATTTGTGATGGCGACTCCGTTGAATTCTTTATTATTTGTGGCATATTCATGACTTGCGGGATTCATGTCTTTTAAAAACTTCACAAATGCAATACTTCTTTCAAAATATTCGCCATATATCATGAGCTTGCTAACAACAGCTAATATATGGACTATTTAGAGTAGAATACATGCTCTGTATAGCAAGTTTATCGGAAAACACGGTCTTTTGAATCGTTATTTAGTGACTCTTGATGGAGTAGTTTAAATATTTTCAGGTTTTCGAATTATTATGACTTTGCCACAGGTACAGAATTGTACAACGATTTTAGGAAGTTTGTTTGTTGAATGTTTGTTTTAAATTAGACGTAAAATTTGTCAGATTATACTGAACTACCTAAAAGCTTTTAGCGGCTAAATTTCAATAGTTACGATTGCAAATCATCACCTGTGATAATCTTTGTCGAACGATCAAGTTCCTACACCAGTTATACTAACCAGATTGTTTTGAAGTCACACCTCGCCGTTAGTACCTAACGTCGATTACTCCTTGACGGTATTCGGATGTTATGGCTACTCTGATTACCGGAAACAACAATCAACGTCATTACAGAAATATGGTATTATGAGAAGATACAAGAAACGGAGTGTGACTACTGTTGTATGGACCCATCCATAGCGTGCAGTACACTGACGAGCGTTTTTTTGTCCTTGGCACTGATGGGTATCGGCGAAATGTTTGGTAATCTGCGACTCGTCACCATACATAAACGTCCTTTACTATGAGAAAGCATTTGACAGTGTGGATAGGACAACATTACAGAAACTTCGGCAATACTCCATGCCTGAGAAGATAATCAATATCATATAGAATTCTTATGATGGATTAAACTGTAAAATCGTGCATGAAGGACAGCTCACAGACTCGTTCGAAGTAAAAGCCGGTGTTAGGCAAAGTTGCTTACTCTCATACTTTCCCATTCTCCTGGTGATCGATTAGATCATGAAGACGTCAACATCTGAAGGGAAGCAGGGGATGCAGTGAACAGCCATAACGCAGCTGGATGATCAAGACTTCACAGATGATCTAGCTCTTCTATCACACACGCAACAACAAATGCAGGAGAGGACAAATAGCGTAGCAGCAACCTCAGTAGCAGTAGGTCTCTGCATACACAAAGGGAAAAGCAAGATTCTCCGATACAACACAACACACCAACCAAATTGCACTTGACGGAGAAGCTTCGGAGGATGTGAAAACCTTTACATAACTGGGCATCATCATTTACGAGCACCGTGGATCTGAAGCAGATGTGAAGGAGCAGATCTGCAAAGTTTTACAACGCTCGGTTTCGCTTCGTCTACAAGTATGGAGCGTTAATTTACTTAAGACGAATATCCACACTTGATTCCCTCCCAGTGTCTATACTACAGAACTTCAACACAACTCAGATCAAGAACATTGGATTAGCCTGACCACAAAGTAAGTATATTTCCACATCAAAACGCGACACGACCCAACAACAATGAACAACCAATAATAATCGTTATAAGGATAGGGGAATATATAACTCATCTGACACCTGTCAGACTATCTGTATGCTTGACTAAGCAGACAACCAATCATTATCATTCTCGCAAAGCAAGAGCAGCACATCTACAACTGAAGAAAATCTGAGACTCAAAATAACTGTCAACCTACACCAAAGTCAGCATTTTCAATACAAATTTCAAGATTGTTCTACTGTATGAGACAAAATTTTTCCAGAACTACGAAAGCCATCATACCGAAGATACAAGTATTTATCACCAGTTGTCTAGGCAAAATACTTCGGATCCGTAAACCCAAATTCAATACCATCGGGAAATACAGAACTAACGATAACGTCAATATTGACGCTTTTATAGCCACCTATTTAGGGGGAATTTTGATAACGTTGAGTTCCCACCCATACGTCCGTACACGATCCTCACAATGATGATACCCCACCCGATAATCATCAGTCATGAAGAAACTTAGTTGGTGCCTGACAACTGGCCCAGAATAACTCGCTGTGGAAGAAGGGTAAGGTTTCCAGTACAATTTACCGATTACTGAGCAAAGGAAACTGCATAACACTTTGTTTTATACGATTTGTATAAATTTAGGGGTTAATAACGAAAACGATTTTCTAATATGCTCACATATATGTACGTTATTTCCCTCAATACATCCATGAAAATACCATTGTGCGAGGTGTTTTCTAAGCTATAGCTTTTTATCAATGCGCATACACATTTTTTTCTTTTCTTACGTGTTATGTGTCCTCACGAACATACAAGCGTATTTCAACACTCACAATTTCTTTTTCTTTTCCAGAAAGGCTGCAGGAGA